ATGAGTATTTAGAGGGGTTTGGGGGAGAGGTCAAGCAAGTCACTGCTTTCACTCCGCCATCTTGGCTCTGCCCCTGATTCAGCCATTCTTGAAGAGCAATTTGGAACTATGCCCAAAGGGCTATAAAACCATGTATACCCTTTCACCTAGCAATACAACTACTAGGTCTGTATCCCAAAAAGATAAAAAACAGAAAGGAAAAGGACATATGTGTACAAAAATATTTATAGCAGCTCTTTTAGTGGTGGCAAAAAATTGGAAATTGAGGGGATATCCATCAATTGGGGAATAGCTGAATAAGTTGTATATGATCGTGATGGAATACTATTGTGCTTTAGGGGCAGCTAGGTGGCACAGTGTATTCACCAGCAGAGCACCAGCTCTGGAGTCAGAAGGACTTGAGCTCAAATCCAGCCTCAGACACTTGATGCTTACTAGCTGTGTGACCCTGGGCAAGTCACTTAACCCCAACTGCCTTGCCAAAACCAGAAAAGAAAAAAAATACTATTGTGCTTTAAGAAATGATGAGCAGGATGCTCTAAGAAAAACATGGAAAGACTTACATGGATTGATGCAAAGTGAACATTGTACACAGTAACAGCAATATTGTGTGATGATCTATTATGAATAACTTAGCTATTTTCAGCAATACAATAATCCAAGACAATTCTGTAGGACTTAGAATGAAAGGTGCTATCTCCAGAGAAAGAACTGGTAGAGCCTGAAAGCGGATCAAAGACACTTTTTCTTTATTTTGGGGGGAGTATTTTTTGGTCTGTGTTTTCTTTCACAGCATGGCTTACATGGAAATGTATTTTGCATGACTACACATGTATAACCTATGTAAAATTGCTTGCCTTCTCAAGGGGCAAGAGGGGAGGGAGGGAGTGAATTTGGAACTCAAAATTCGGGGAAAAAAAGAATGTTAAAATTGTTTTTACCTATAATTGGGAAAAATTAAAATATTAAATAAGATTTTAAAAAAGTAAACTGTTTGATCTTGAGTCCCTTGTAATTGGTCTTTAATGTTTACCTTCTATTTCTCCTGGATCTTATAGGTCGAACTTCCAATTAACCTCTGCTCTTTTTGTCACAAATACCTGAAAGTTTTTCAATTTGTTAAATGTCCTTTTTTTTTTTTTTTCATTCAGGATTATATTTAACTTTGCTGGGTAAGTTACCCTTGGTTATAATCCCAGCTCTTTTTTTTTTTCCAGCTCTTTCGCTCTATAAAATATAGTGTTCCCAGACCAGTGGTCCTTCAGTGTAGAAGCTGCAAGCTCCACAATATTTAATTCTTTTTTCTTGTTGCTTGAAATATTTTCTCCTTAACCTGGGAGCTTTGAAACTTGGCTATGATATTCCTGTAAGTTTTCCTCCTTAGATCTCTTTCAGGTGGTGATTGGTGTATTTTTTCTACTTCTGCTTTACCTTCTTGTTCTAGAACTTCAGCACAATTTTCCTTAATAATTTCTTGTAATATTGTATCAAGATTCTTTTTTTATATGGTAACTTTCAGGTAGTCCCACTATTCTTACAGTTTCTCCTCATTCTTCTCCAAATCAATTATTTTTCTGATGAGATGTTTCACATTCTCTCCTATTTTTTCATTCTTTTGATTTTGTTTTATTATTTCTTGGTGTCTTATAACAACATTAGCTTCCCTTTGACCAGTTCTAGTTTTCAAGGAATTATTTTCCTCCTTAAGTTTTTGATTCTCTTTTTCTAGTTGGTTTACTTTCTTTCCATAATTTTCTTGATTTTATTGGTTTGCTGTTCTTTTTTTCCCCCTATTTTTCCTTGATCTTTCCTATTTGATTTTTAATGTCCTTTTTAAGTTCTTCCAAGAACTCTTTTTGGGCTTGTGACCATTTGAGTTTCTCATTGAAAAAGGAGTGGCTTTTTTAGCTCCACTATCTTCCTCTAATATGAACCCAGATCTTTTCTATCCCCATAGTAGTTATCTATGGTGCTTCTTTCTCCTTTGCTTACTCATTTTTATTTTTATTTTGCTTTATTTTACTTTTAGCAGTTTATTATTATAATCAAATTCTACTCCCAAGGTGTGGGGAATGATGCCCCAAGCCTCAGGTCCTTATTTTCTAAGCTCTGTCCCAGGGCTCAACCTTGGGCAATCCTCTCTACCCTCAAGCCACAGCCAAGGCCCCCAGCTACACTGTCCTGCAAATGTTCTTGCTCCCTTTGGTCCCCCAATGGCTACAAACTTCAACTGTCCTCTCTGTCATGGAACCAAAACCAGGGACTTTGATCTCCTGCAAGTGCCCACAAGTAGCAGGGCACCACATCTGGTCAGCACTGCTGTGCTTGGCATCCCTGGACAGAGGAAGGTCCTTCTCCTACTCAATTGTCCACTCCCCCCACATTGTCCCAGTGGTGAAAATTTCTAAGGCTGAGGCTTCCTCACCACCCAGATGCCCCTGGGGCTTTTTGTTTATTGATTCTGAAGAGTCAGCCTGGAGGTGTTTGTACTTCACTCAGGTCAAACCTCCACTCCTAGAGGTCAAGGCTTTCCTGCAGACCTCTCAGGTTGTCTTATGAGGACAACTGCTTTACCTGGGCTTTTGTTTATTTCTGCTGCTCTGCAATCACTTTGAGGCAATGTTCCATCCTTTTTTGTGGAGGAAATTTGGAAAACCTGGAGTCTTCTGATGTATTGCAACATCTTCCCAGAATTGGGAATGGGTAGATTTAATTCGGGTTACATATATTACTGTGAGCAAGAATCCCTTAGAAGAAATGGAGTAGCCCTCATAGTCAATAAAATGGTAAGAAAAGCAGTGCTTAGATGTAATCCCCAAAATGGCAGAATGAGATCTGTTTGAATTCAAGGCAAACCATTCAACATCACAGTAACACAAGTCTATGCTTTGAACCACTGATGCTGAAGAGGCCAAAGTTAATCAGTTCCATGAAGACCTATAACATCTTCAAGAAACAACACCAAAAAGAGATCTCACATTTATCATAGGGAATTGCAATGATAATTGAAATAATAGGCAAGTTTGGCCTTGGAGTACAAAATGAAGCAGGGCAGAGTAATAGAGTTTTGTCAAGATAACTCATTGGTTATAGCAAACACTCTTTTTCAACAAAGGCAACTCTACACGTGGAATTAGCAAATGGTCAATATCAAAATCAGACTGATTATATACTTCACAGCCAAAGGTAGAGAAGCTCTATACTATTAGTTAAAACAAGACCTAGAGCTGACTGTGGCTCAGATCACGAACTTCTTATTGCAAAATTCAGACTTAAATTGAAGAAAGTAGGGAAAACCATCAGACCATATTGGTGCGACCTAAATAGCATCCTTTATGAATATTGTGAGAAAAAAAAGAGTTAAGTTTCCACATAAGTAGATAAAAAATCAGCACAGACAGGCTAACTTCTCTGTCCAGGGGAGTGGGGGTAGTGACAACACAATTCTAGGCACAAAATGTATGTTAAGGGGTGGGGATCACATGTATATAAAATATATGAACAGGGTGTATAAAGAAGATTGTAACCCAGAAGGATTAGGATCAATCCTGATCCAGCAGGGAGGAGTTAGGCAATTACTAACTATAAAGCTTGCTCTTGCTTCTGTACTTGGCACACTCTCCTGTTCAAAGGAGGCATGCTCGCTTCTCTCGAGAATCGAAAGGACGCACTTCAACCTCTTTAATAAAAAGTCTTTGAGATACCAGTCTTCGGAACTGAGTCTGGGGTCTTCTTTATAACAATATGAAGTGGAAACAAATAGTTTTTAAGGGATTAGATCTGGTAGGTGTGGTGCCTGAAGAACTATGGACAGAGGTTCACAATATTGTACAAGAAGCAGCAACAAAAAACATTCTAAAAAAAGAAGAAGAAGATCAAGAAAACAAAATGGAGGTCTGATGAGGCCTTAGAAGGAAAAGGAAAGGGAAAGGGAAAGGAGAAAAGGAAAGATATACCCAACTGAATGCAGAATTCCAGAAAATAGTAAGGAGAGATAAGAAGGTTTTCTTAAATGAGCAATGCAAAGAAATAGAAGAAAACAATAGAATAGGAAAGAGGAGATCTTTTCAAGAAAAGTAGAGATAATGTTTCACACAAAAATGGTAGGGACTTAACAGAAGTAGAAGAGATTAAGAAGAGGTGGCAAGAATACACAAAATAACTATACAAGACAGATCATTGATAATGAAGATGGTATGGCTACTAGTCAGATATCCTGGAGAATGAAGTCAAGGGGGCCTAAGGAAGCATTGTTAACAACAAGGCTAGTGGAGGTGATGGAATTCCAGCTGAGCCATTTAAAACCCCAAAACATGATATTGTTAAAAGTCTGCACTTCATAGGCCAACAAATTTGGAAAACTCAGCAGTGGCCACTGGATTGGAAAAGATAAGTTTACATCCCAATCCTAAAGAAGGGCAATGCCAAAGAATGTTCAAATTACTGAACAATTGTGCTCATTTCACACGCCAGCAAGGTTATGCTTAAGATTCTGCAAGCTAGGCTTCAGCAATATGTGAACTAAGAATTACCAGAAGAGTAGGCAGGTTTTTGAAGAGACAGAGGAACAAGAGACCAAACTGCCAACATTTGCTGTATTACGGAGAAAGCTAGGGAGTTCCAGAAAAACGTCTACTTCTGCTTCATTGACTACACTAAAGCCTTTGACTGTGTGGATCACAAAAAATGTGGCAAGTCCTCAAAGTGATGGGAGTACCAGATCATCTGACTTGTTTCCTGAGGAATCTGTATTCAGGTCGAGAAGTAATAATTAGAACCAAACATGGAAATAACTGGTTAGTTTAAGATGATGAAAGGGGTACAACAAGGCTGTATATTGTCACTATATTTATTTAACTTATATGCAGAGCACATCATGTGAAATGCCAGGCTGGACAAATCAAAAGCTGGAATTAAGGTTTCCAGGAGAAATACCAACAAACTCAGATATGCAGATGATACCACTCTGATGGCAGAAACTGAAGAAGAATTCAGAAGCCTCTTGATGAAGGTGAAAGAGAAGAGTGTAAATGCTGGCTAGAAGCTTTAACATTGACAAAAACTGAGATCTTGACAATTGGTCCCATCACTTCCTGGCAAAAACAGGGAGAAGAAATGGAAGCAGTGTCAGATTTTATATTCTTGGGCTCAACAATCACTGTATACGGTGACTGCAGCTATGAAATTAAAAGATGCTTGCTCCTTGGAAGGAAAGCTATGGCAAATCTGGACAGCATTCTAAAAAAACAGACACCACTTTGCCAACAAAGGTCCGTATAGTCAAAGCTATGGTTTTTCCAGTAGCAATGCATGGCTGTGAGAGTTGGACTATAAGGAAAGCTGAGCGCTGCAGAATCAACACTTTTGAATTGTGCTGGAGAAGACTTTTGAGAGTCCCTTGGATAGCAAAGAGATCAAAACAGTTAATACTTAGAGAAATTAATTCAGGCTGTTCATTGGAAGATCAAATACTGAAGCTTAAATGCTTTGGCCAAATAATAAGAAGGTGGAAAAGATTCTGATGTTGGGAAAGATTGAAGGCAAAAGGAAAAGGGGACGACAGAGGATGAGATGGATAGACAGTGTCATGGAAGCAACCAACATGAACTTGGACAGGCTTCCAGAGACAGTGGAGGACAGAAAGGCCCTGGTGCATTATGGTCCATGGGGTCATGAAGAGTTGGATTCCACAGCTGAACAAAAACAAAAGTTTAGAAGCACTAGACAATCTGAAATCTGCCTTTTTCATATCTCCTGCAGTTCTAAACTTTAGGGAACAAAGGAAAGCTATTTTCGAATAAAAAGTTACCAAGGTTTCATTTCCAAGGGAACTTTGTTCCCCCAAGAAGTGTGACTAAATAGGTCATTGAGGTTGTGTGTCTGCTTCTGTGACCATTTCCTGCCCTGCCTTCCTCCCCATTCTGGCTTTCTCCCTTAAGTGGCTAGAATGGGAAATTGTAGTATCATTTTGATCTGCTGTAATTATTGAATAGGGTTTCATTGTCCACAGTTAATTTAGCAAGTGAACAAAAGGACCAGTTTAAAATCATTTTGTGGTGCATTTCTCTTTTAAGTAGATAGCAACTTAGCTTGTTTTGTTTTTAATAGGACGCTGCATGGATTTTGTTTTCCCATTTGTAGAGATACTTAGTAGACAAAGCAAACCTCACCTCCTCCCCATAAATTCCCTAGGGATTTCTGTCTTCCTCTTATGAAGCAAGGTTGGGAGGGGACCGCCTGGATTTTCTCCAGCCCAGTCTCTGAGCAGAGGAACAATAAAACAGGAAAGTGTATCCCTTCTCTTGTCCTGGTTCTTCAGTTTCTCCCATTTGGTTCCTCCCACACTCCTAATACAAGCCTATTTGGATTAGAAGTTTTGAGCCTTAATCCAGCTTGAGGTGTGGGGGTGCGCACACGTGTGTGTGTGTGTGTGTGTGTGTGTGTGTGTGTGTGTGTGTAATAGGACCACACCCTGGAATCCCATCTTCACTGGGGGGGGAGGGGGGTGATGGACCAAAGAGGAGGGAATCACTGCGGATTGGGATTCCCAGCTTCATTAGCCATTACTCTCCTTCCCACATACTGGCCTTATGGGAGACATTCCATCTCTTGTCTTTGCATAGGCTAATTATCCACCATGCCCGGAATGACATTTCGCCTCACCTCTGCTTCATACGATCCTTCTCTTCCTTCAAGATGCAATGCACACACCACCCGAAGCCTTTTCTAGCCTCCCTAACTACTCCCTACAAAGTTACTTTCTGTGACCTAGTAGTTAACCTTCAGTAGCTAAGACCTAGGTTTGAATCCAACTGTGTGACCCTGAAGTCACTTAACCTGTGTCAGCCTTTGGCCTCTGTTTCTCTGTCCGTAAAACGGGGATAATAACCAGTCTATTTTGTAGAGTTGTTATGCAGATGAAACCAGCCATATGTAAAGTGCTTTGTAAACTGTAGAACACCGCAGAAATATGAGGTGTTGTATTTTGTGTTTGCCTAGATATCAATTCCTTGGGAATAAAGATGGTTTCATTCTTTGTCTCCAGGGCACCTGACACAATGCCTGTTATGTAGCAGGTGATTAGTAAATGCTTGCAGATTGATGATTTGATTGGGGATGTGGGAAGGAGGTTACTGGAAGTGATGAGTGGGCTCTGACCGGGTAGGTTAAGGACAGATTAGGCCAAGGGATCCCTGTTCTTGCCCTTCTTCTGTCTCTACCAGGAGCTCCCTTCCCTTCATCTCAACCCTTTCCTTCATCCCAGTGCCTGTGCGCGCATGCCTACAAGGGTGTACACACACACACACACACACACACACACACACACACACACACACACCCTAGAAGGCCTGCAGAGGGCAGCAGCCACCTGCCTTGGGATGGGAAGTCAAGGCCCTGGAAATGGATGTGGGGGGTGGGGGTGGGGGGTGGGGGAGGGCGGGCAAAGGGGCTGGGCTGGCTGGGTTGGTTTGGGCATATTGCATTGTGGGGAAGCTGGGGCACCGGCAAGGAGGGAAGAAGGAGGGAGGGAGGGAGGGAGGGAGGGAGGGAAAGTGGGAGGGAAGATTCCTGCCTGGCTGTCCAACTCCCCCAGTTCCCGCCCGGGACGGCCTGTACCCTCGCTCCCTCCTCCCTCCTTTCTGCCCCTGCGGGAGTCTTTGCCCAGGTAGGTGGGTACATGCCCTGGCCTCGTGGGGGAGCCCGTGGCCAGACTCTAGGGGGGCAGAGGCAGCTTTGGGGGTGCTCGGGTGGGGAGCAGGTTGCCTCACCCTTCCTGCTCCCCCCATCTCAGCTCAGAAGATCGTGATGGGGCAAGGGGAAATATGGACCCCCCAGGGTGGGGGAGACAGACAAGTGGCAAAGATGGCAAGGCCTATAGGGGTCCCCTTTTTCTCTCTCCCCCAATCCAGAGAAGGTGAGGGGGAAAGTTGCAGCTTTTTTTGTGCCTGGTTGACTCTTCCTAGCAAGGAGGAGACCCTGTGTCCTAGCTGCTCCCCCCCGGGAAGAACGGAGCACAGACACCAGCCTTAGAACTCTGGCCCTCTCTCCCTACCCCCCAACAGTGGTTGCCAGGGCAACTCTGAGTGGACTTGGTTAAGAAGGTGGCTGTCCCCTCTAGTAGGGAGTAGATAAGGAAAGAAACAAAGTGGCTATTCCTAGCACTGCGATCTGTAACATCCTGCCCTTTCCTGTCCAGGAGATAGGAGCCTGGCACAGGGTGCACAGATGGTAAAGACAGGGAGGGATGCCTTTCTGGATAGCAACTGCTCTGTGAGAAGCCTGGGGTTTCGGAAAGGGTAGGGACCAAGGCTCCAGGCTCCCTTCCCCCAGAGCCGCCCAACCAGCCTGGCCGGGCCACCTCCTTTCACAGCCTCTTCTGTCTGGCCCTTTCTCCCCACCCCGCTTCGCCCGTCCCCAGGCACCATGCCCGCTGCTAGGCACCAGCAAGTGGAAATCCCCTAACCATCCAAATACTTGGTTTTCACCTTTCTTCCATCCCCCCCACCCCCCTTCCCGCAAATTGTTCTTGGGACTGCCCCCTACTTGGTAGTCCTATAGGACACTTGCTCCTTTCTCTCCCTACCCATTTTATAAATGGGGCAAATGGAGAGGGAGAAAGATGCAAACTCTGCCAGAGCAGGACACCCACAGACCCACACGGTCACACCCACCCACATAGGGCCTGTGTGATCAGGAGCTCGGGAGTGCCGTGCCCCAGAACTCTTACGGTGATACCATGGTACCTCCCCCATATAAGCAGATGGCAAAACTCGCCTGGTGAGGCCAAGGCCATCGGGGAGTTAGCTGACCTGTGGTAAGGCTTTGGGGAAGAGGATTTTCAAGAAGATAACTTAATCTCTGAGGATTACTTTTTTTTTTTCCTAGAGTGGGTGGCCGGGAAAGGGTGGGGTCTTGTGACGATGTTTTCCATACCTGAGGCCATGAAGGTAGTTGCTACAAAATGTGCTGAGGTGCCATCTCTGGGGGCCCCACCCTTTCCGTATCAGGTGAAAAAAGGGGCTCTATTCCCCTCCTATCGCCCCATATTCCTTCTCCTAGGCATTTTCCAACTGGAGTTGGCACTACCAGCTGTTTCTGTCCTGCGCCTGGCATAGCTGTACCACAAAAGGGTCACCATGTGAGAGAGGGGAATGTCAGGGCTAGACTGAGCTGGAATGCTCAGGGTTAATACAGGGAGGGCTGGGGGGGGGCATGCCACAGGGGAGACAGTCGCTAGCTGGGGGGTGGGGGGTGGCGGGGGTGGGGGGAAGTCTTGGGTACTGTGTTGCTTTTTATCAGCAAGGGCTCTGTCCCCAGACCCCTGCCCCCTCCCTCCTGCTAGACAAAGGCAGGCATTGAACCCCTAAGGCTAGCGATTCATTTCAAGGGGGGAGGAGAATCTGGGGAGGGCATAGAGGCTGGGGTGGGCACGTGCCAGGGCCACCCATCCCATTCCTGGGACACTGTCCACCCTCTCCTCCCATTCCAGCTCCACCCCACTTCTTTCTAGTCAAGCTGCGGCTAGGAATGACCTAGGAGACATTAGGGAGAGAGGGTAGTCTTCAGCCTTTCTGAACCCTAATGAGCACTTTTCAGAGCCCTCTTTTCTGTACCCCAAAAGGGTAGGGTCAGCTTACCGGATGCCAGGCTGGGCTCGGGGCCCTATGTGGGGATCTTTTCTTCTGTTCCTGTATCCTAAGGGGGAAAGAGCAGATTCTTGGGTTGACATTTCTGGTCCTCTTGCGCCCCCCCCCCCCAATGCCAGAAAGGCATCTCTGTGACTGACAAGAGTCCTTGGAGTGGCAGAAAAGCTCTCTCAGCTCCCAGGAAGTATGGCCAAGAAACCCTAGGACGGAGGCCTGGGAGGGGAGGGTTGGATAATAGGTCCCTGGAACCCCCCTGGGTGGGGTTAGGGAAACAGAGGGGACATTGTTGGGGATGAGGGGAGAAAATTACCATCATAGCTGCTATTGATGAAACTGCCAGCTGTGCTCAGGGTGGACCCCGCTGGCCCTCCCCCAGGCGGGCCTGAGTGGACAAGGGCTCAAGCATCTCCCCCTTTCACCCCCTTTCAGGACAATGCCCATCATATCCACAGTGTACCAGGCTGCAGTGCCCTGGGGCAGCTGAGTGGAGGAAGTGTCCCCTCTGCCTCAATATTCATGGTAAGTGACTGAGACACACCTTCCACCCAGCCCTGGTCTAGCCTTCCACCATGAGCATTGTTCTCTTCGGGGGCCCCACCTCTCCCCACCTCTCACCTGCTTTACCCAGAGGCAGCTGGGCCAGTGTTTGGGAGGAGGGAAGACAGAAATCCATGTAGGGAGGCCCCAAGGGAGAAAGAGGGTCCTGGGGCTTCTCACCTCCTCCAGTCCAAATCTGGGGCCCAGGCTTGCCACTGCCGGATATTTGCACGTGTCCTGGACACTTCTGCACACTTATATAGGAACCCTGATAGAAGGTGACAGCAAGGTTAGCCCCATGGCCCCGGGGGACTGAAGGAAATCCATTTTCCAGAGTGGGGCCCCACCCCCATTCCCTGTGTGGCCCCAGCTCCCTGGCCCATCCCCGCACTGCCAACCCTTTACCACTGGGCCTTCCTGTCTCTGGCCTCTGGAGATAAGAGTATCCTGAGGGAAAAGAGGAGATAGATGGGAGTCATGTCTTTGTGGAAAGCCAACCTCCCCCTCCACTCGGGGAGAGCTCAGTCCCCAGCGCATGGAGTGTGTGTGTGTGTGTGTGTGTGTGTGGGTGGGTGTGTGTGTGTGTGTGCATGCGTGTAGTCTGTATCTGTGAATGCATGTGTTTTGGAAGGTATGGAGGGTTGGGGGAAGACAAGTCTTCATGTATGTCTGTGCTTGAAAAGATGTGGCTATGTTTGGGTCTGGGTCTGGGTTTCAGGGGGTGGAAGGGCAGTCTGCATGTGCATATGGAAGTGGGGGTCTTTACATTTCCTTGGATGTATGCATCTGAGGTGTCGGGGTTCTGTATACCAGGAGCGGGCAGTCTGTGTGTGTCTAGGCCTCTGTGAGGAAAGGACACAAGTCTTGGGGGTTCGGCACGTCTCCACACGCCTGCTTGCGTGTGCATGTCACCATCTTGAAGTTGGTGCCTCAGCTCCATGCCCCAGCCTGCCTGGCCTGCTGGGACTGGGTGTCTGCATCGGCTATGCTCCCCACACCTAGCCCCACAGCTGTGCTACTTCTTTCCTCCCTGGCCCCTGCCACCCTCTCTCAGGCTCTTTACCTGGTTCTCCCTCTCCAGCCCAGGCTTTTCTTCCCTTTGTATCCTCTGTACTTCCTGCCTGGCAGGCTCTCAGCATCTTTGTGTTCATTTCTGTCATTCTCTGCTCCCATTTCTGATCCCTCTATAGACATGGCTTAAACGATCCTGTTCCATCGCCCACAACTGACTAATGCTGACATGGCCCTCCCAGGGAGGGCTGGTCCAGCCTTGGGCTACCTTGCGGAGCTCTGGGGCCAAGCATGACGGTGATGTCTTCACTTGGCCAGGGAGGACCCAGCCCGGCAGGCCCAGGGCTTCCCAGGCTGGTCTGTGACTGTCGCAAGATCTGGGCGCCTCTGAATTCAGCCTTCTGTCTCCGAGTCCCTGTTACTGTCTCTTCAGAGGATCCCAGACTGAAAGGCTCTCAGTGGGCCTCGCATCCAACTGCCCTATTTTATAGAGAAGGAAATTGAAGCCAAAGGAGATGAAGTGATAACTACTAAGGGTCTGAGGCAGGATTCAGACCCATGTCTTATTGGCTAAAGTGCTCTGAGGGCAACTGGGTAGCCTGGATAGAGTACTGGGCCTCGAGTTAGGAAAGCCTGAGTTCAAATCCAGCCTCAGACACTTACTAGCTGTGTGACCCTGGGCAAGTCACTTCAGCTCTTTGTGTGACTCAGTTTCCTCAACTGTATGTAACCCCAGCCTCTCAGGGTTGTTGTGAAAAATCTAATGTCGATGATACTTGTAAAGCGTTTAGCATATTGACTGGAGCATAGCAAGCATCTTAATAAATGTCTGTTCCCTTTCTTTCTTTCTATTCATTGCATCACATGCTGCCTCTCTGTCTTCCTCTCCCCCTTCTCACTCCTCTCTTTCTTCTCTCTTTCTGCCCATGTCTCTTTGTTCCCCTTTCTTCTCTTTCTTCTCTCTCTTTCTCTCCCTCCTAAACTCTCTTTTTCTCTCTGTGTCTCTATCTCTCTCCTCCTCCCTTACCATTCCTCTTTCTGTCCCCTATGCCTCTTGGCTCCTTTCTCTTTTTTCTCCTTTCTGTCTCTTTCGCTCTCCCCTCTCTTCTCTCCTCTCCCTCCTGTCTTCTCACTCCACTCTCTCTGCCCCTTCTCTCTTCTCTCTCTCCTTCCTTCCCTGTCTTTTCTCTCTTGAACTCTGTGTGTGTGTCTCTCTCTGTCTCTCCTCTCTTTCTCTCTGTCTCTATCTCCCTCTCTCTGTTTCTCCCCTCCCTTCTCTCTCTTTCTCTATCTTTCTCTCTCTCCTCCCTTCTCTCTCTCTTTGTGTGTCTTTCTCATTCTGTTTCTCTATGTCTCTGTCTCTCTTTTCTCTCTTCTCCCTCTGTCTCTCTTTCTCTGTCTCCTCTCTTTTTTCTGTCTCTGTCTTTCTCTTTCTGTCTCTCGCTGTCCCTCTCTCTTTCTCTCTCTTTTTCTGTCTCTCGCTGTCCCTCTCTCTTCTGTCTCTCTCTGTCTCTATCTCCCTTTCTCTCTCTCTTTTACTCTCTTTGTGTATCTTTCTCATTGTTTCTCTCTGTCTCTGCCTCTGTGTCTCCTCTATTTTTCTGTCTCTCTCTGTCTCTATCTCCCTTTCTCTCTCTTTCTCTCTCTGTCTCTATCTGTATCTTTCTCTCTCTCTCTCCCCCCTCCCTTCTCTCTCTGTCTCTCTCTCTCTGTGTCTTTGTGTCTTTCTTCCTCATTCTGTCTCTCTCTCTCTCCCTCCTCCCTTCTCTCTCTCTCTCTCTCTCTCTCTCTCTCTCTCTCTCTCTCTCTCTCTGTCTCTTCCCTTCCTTCTCTGTCTCTCTGTGTCTTTGTCTTTCTCTCTCATTCTGTCTCTCTCTGTCTCTGTTTCTTTCCCTCCTCCCTTCTCTCTGTCTTTCTCAGTCTCCTTCACTCTCTTTTCTGTCTCTCTCTCTTTCTCTCTCTTTTTCTGTCTCCCTCTGTCCCTCTCTCTGTCTCTCTCCCTTTCTCTCTCTGTCTCTGTTTCTCTCTGTCTTTGTCACTCTGTCACTCTGTGTCTTTCTGTCTTTGTCTCTATCTCTCTCTTTCTACTCCCTCCCCCACTCCCCCCATTCCACCAGCATTTTCCTCTCACCTGCTTGGCGCTGGCCATACAAAAACAAAAGTCCTTACCCAAGAAGCTTACCCTCAATTGATGGGAAATCAGAGGTGCACAGAAAAGTAAACCCCAAGGATGTTTCTGGTCCAGACCAGCGATTTCATCAGCAGTGGTTTTAACTCTGGGGTAGAATCGTCCTCCACTTATCTCACTCATATCAGCAACTCCTCTTGACCTTCTGCTCTTGGAGGCTTGCCCAGGGCCCTCACAGATGAAATGATTTGCTGAGGGATCCCCAGGTGCTATTTGGCAGAGGGAAGACTCCCAGACCAGCTCTCTGTCCCAGATGCCAAGATTTACAAAGTAATTTTAGTCAATTGGAGGGGGAGAGGGAAATTCTGCCAGGCCGGAAGGAAGGAGAAGGCAGCAGTCCTCTGCTTTGCCCCTGCCTCATGGACCCTGTGCCCACACCCCTCTGGGACCAGGGCTCTCTCCAGGTCTTGGTGCCCAGATTTGTCGTCCCCCCCCCCGCCATGGGTGCTATTGAATTTGCATCTTCCAAGTATGTTTCCTGACCTTAGTGGTTCTCTATTTTGCCCGGGGCCAACCTGGCTCTGGCCATCTCTTTGACCTCATTTCAGCCCCTAGTTCTCCATCAGTGTCAACCTAGATATCTGGGCTTTCACCTCTGGTTGTGAAAGTCTCTGACTTTCTGAAGATGGAGTGTGTGATCGGTCCTCAGGGTGTATGTGTGTGTGTGTGTGTGTGTGTGTGTGTGTGTGTGTGTGTGTGTGTGTGTATGGGAAGGTAACATGGGGGGTGGGTTGTGTGGTGTGTGTGTATGTGTGTATATATGTGTGTATGAGGAGGTAACACGTGGGGGTGGGGCTGTGTGGTGTGTGTGTGGATATGTGTGTTTGGGGAGGTAACATGTGGGAGAGGTGGGACTGTGTAGGGTGTATGGTATGTGTATGTATGTTTGTGTGTCTGTGAGGAGGTAACATGTGGGAGTGGGGCTATGTAGTATGTGTCTATATGTATGTATATGGGATAACATGTGGAAGGAGTAGGGCTATGTGGTATGTGTATGTCTGTACGTGTGTATGGGGAGGTAGGGCTATGCAATAAGTGTCTGTGTGTATGTGTATGGGGTAACATGTGGGAGGTATGGGACTGTGTGGTATGTGTGTGTATGTGTGGGTAGGAGGAGGTAACCTGTGGGGGGGGTAGGGCTGTGTGATGTATGTATGTATGTATATATGGGGGAGTAACATGTGGAGGTGGGGCTGTGTGGCGTTTGTGCATTTGTGTCATGAGAGGTATATGGGAGGGAGGGCTGTGGGAGGGGGTGAGCATTTGGAGGGGAGTGATGTGGAGTTGGGGAAATGTGAGGTAGTATGGGCATGTGTGGGGGAGGCATATGTGTGTGTGGTGGAGGTAGAGGTGGAGGTGGGTGGGTATGGATGTAGCTGATCAACCCTGTGCACTGGAGACAGAGACACACTCTTCTGCCTCCTTGGCCCCCCCAGAGTGGGGGCCTTGCCCCACTTTCGGGAGGGAAGGGGGAGGCTGAGTGGGAGGGAGGGGAAATCGACAGAAACTGAGTTCCTCCCAAAATCACCCTTCTTTATGAAGGTACCACAGAGGCAGTGGGAAACTCAATGATTTCCTGCTAACTGTGCCTGGAACTGCTTGGGTGACCAATGCCCCCCTCAGATCTACCTTGGTTCTGTTTTATAGAGGGGAGAGGGGCTTGGAGCCAGGGGAGAACAGTTTGGGGATTGGCCATAGACTCCCTTCTTCCAGCCCTGAGGGGTCCCATGTTGATGGTTTGGGGGCTACAGCCAGGTTCCCTCTGCCTGGGGCCTTCATAGCCCTCTCCACTTCATAGAATATCCAAGCTGGAAGGGACCCCAGAGGCCTCCATCTAGTCTACCCCTCACCTAACCAAGGAATTCCTCCCACAACAAGTGGCCATCCAATCTATGATTGCAGATCTCCAAGGAGAGGAAGCTCCATGCCTTTCCAAGCAGGAAAAAC